TAACTCCATTTGAATGTAGATAATATAAATAGCAACATCATTTCTGTAAATCATGTTCCTTGCTAATGTTAACAAGGGGTATTGTGAAGATTTCAGTGCTCGGCTGCAGTCAGAGTCGTGTGCAGACAGATACGTAGGGTAAACATTTGATACTGAAAGATTTCAGTGTAGAATGATGCATCTTTTTCAGAAAAATGGGTTCCAGCAACTACTGTACATTCCAAATGATTTTCAGGGTTAAACTTATACTAAACAAACAAAGTTCCACTGAGATATTTGACTCAATTAATTAAAGTTAATTAACTATGTAATGTGAAAGTGGTCACTCATTATAACAAATCTAATGAGAATAAAATCTGCAACCGCTGTGCTTTTTAATCCAGTGGCAATGATCCAGGACCCACATTTCCTGACTGCGCCTCTTGGACTGTGTGTGAGCTTGTTTAACTTTGATCAGCATCGTTCCAACTCTTATTTTATTCACATAATTAATTATAGAATTCATTTTAGAATGTGTTTTCTATTAACAAAACTACTGAATATAGCATTCACTAAAGAAAACAAGCTTAACTTTACACAAACCATAAATTGTTCTAATGAGAACATGGTGTTAGAGGGCCATTTATGCAACTCTCAGAATTTCTTTTCTGGTCTTTAACCTGTAAGGCCATTAACCAAGCATTTAGCACTTAGAGAACAACAGATTCACCACTTTTGGTACTTGTACTGGTTTCCATCTGGTTCCCCTCCAAAATAAGCCCTTCTACACTAAGTGCTGCCAAGCCCACATACTTTCCATCCAAAAGCTATGGGACTGGGGGTGGTGGTGGGTGGGGTGACTACTTCTTCGTTGGGAGCAGTGACTTTCAGGAGGAAAGGTTTTTAAGATACCTTTTAGATATGCGAGTAGGAGGACAATCCCAACTGTGAACATGACCAGATTTTAAGAATGTTATTTTCAATTGCACCTCAGGGAATACCTCTTTAAGAAGCTGACATCTTGGAAGAGCACACTAAAATACTGAGCCACGGCTTTACAATAGCCTGAGTAGAATTAGAAACAGGCAGGCAGCAGGCACCGAGGTGGTAGAGAGGAGCCTTCCATCAACTAAGAGTAGGATTGGAGAGGAGGGGCAGAGTGATGGTGGTGATTGTAAGGAATGCCAAGTGAGAGGCTTTAGATTCTGCCGCCATCTCACTCACCAGCATGGTATCAAAGTCTTCGCTGTTGATATCACACATGAATTGTAATAGCGCTGTCAAGCTGACATCTTCCATTCAAGAGAAAATGATAGAGACATTATAAAGCTATTAGTAACTCTACAGGTGAAACTCAGGCCCACCAACTCACTGCACACACAACCTGTAGCATCATGGAGAACACAGAAACAGCTGGCTGAAATAACTGCTAGGTTGTTTTTACTCACAGGCAAGACTTCCTACCATGGCTTGTTTATCAGACCTGGGTCAGTTACTATTTTCCACCACAGGAACTTAACGAGCTGTACCCTGGAGTTTGCATACCAGTAATTCAGCAACTTGGAGTGATGTGGCCTGTTCTGCTTTGCTCACAATGCTCATTAATCATGCATGCAACGAAATCTGCCAGTAATGGAGACTATATGAGCAGTTTATCAAAAAACTGTTGAACATGCAGAACAAGCTTGCAGAAATGTGATGTCTTTGTTGCATTGTCCATGGTCAGCTCAATGAACTCCCCATTTTACCTGTATACCAGTGTGTGTATGGTCCCATACTCTGCATATAATGCCATATTTGCCATGTTTACACATGATGATGCTGCTGTTTAACCAATCAGGGGCTACAGCCCTGCAAGCACCCACACCGTCCCCTGTGTGTTCCTGGAGCTTGATTTTGTACTACATCTTGAGATGTGCATATATTTAGCTCCAATAAGTCGTTTCTAAACTACAAAGAGGGCAGTGGAAACAAAAGCAGAACCCAGGACAAGGGGTACAAGCTCTGTTTTGGGTCAGTAGTTTCCTACAGTGGAAAAGGCCTGTGATTTATTTTCTTGTATTACTTTACTACTTGGAGACATTCTGTTGGTTTCCTTATGCCAAAAACATTTTGCAATGTTACAGACTAAAGCAGATGAATGCCAACAATGGTGATACCTCTCAGACAGAGGGTTTTAGCTCTATGACAGACATTTTCATTAAGTCACCATGCTTTAATTCTTGCCACCTCTTGATAAGCCATAGCTGGCGCCTCTGTCAAGCATTATTACTCAGGCATTTATGTTCATGTCTAAGTGTTTTGAGGCAGTTTAGCAAACCCTTGTCTGCCTGATGTCTGTGTTTGGATAACGGCATGCGATAAATGTCAGCTGCAGGATTAGTTATCTGTGGCTTGTGCTGAATAAATTATCTCAGTGCACCAGTGTCTTTACACCTGTGGGGCCCTGGCTGCTACTTCCTTTTCCTTGAATCAAAGAGATGATTTGGTAAATTCCAGTTACAATCAAGTGTAACACTATTTTCTGTGAATTCACAGTTTTGTAGATGCTGATGTCATTGATTGATTTACATCAAGCCTTCACTATATGTTCAAGTTGTATCCTTTGTTACAATAGATTCTACTAGGTTGTTAAAGCTGGGTTATTAACTGGATATTTAAGTACATGAAATTTCAGACATGAAAACTAGATACAGTATATTCGTGTTGTTCTGTCGCCACCTTGAATGTTAGTTCCAAGTGCCAGAGGTAATACACACCAGGAGTATATGACACACATCAAAACACATGCTCCATTGATTTTCTATACAAACCCACACAAGACTCACATCAACATGTCAGGACACATCATTGTTCTCTCTCCCCAATGTCAACAATTCTTCAATACCCTAGAAAATTACCACTTTTATGAAGGTTACACATCCCCTTGACTGCTGCTTCTGTCTTTATGGAAGACATGGGCAACAAACATAACCGTTTCACACAGTTAATATTTATTGTGTGGATGCTGTGAAGCATCCACACTATGTTATCCTGTTCTTTATTGTGTGGATGCGAAGCACCCACACTATGTTATCCTATTCATTATTATTATTATTATTAATATTATTATTCTGGTTTCCCCCACTGTTTTTTGGCAAGTAATAACTCCAGCATACTTACAGCTAGAACAACCATTAAGGTGTCAAAATATTCAACTTTTCAAGGACATGTGTGCTTGTCCACAGATTTTTTTGTAACATTTATAGTTTTTAATAAATTCAGCTTTTTGCACAAAAATTTCCCCATTGAAAATGAATGGGACACAGTTTGAACCTTAATATCTCCGGCATACCTTGGGCTAGAAATGCCATTTCAACTCTGTTCAACTCGTGAGACGTTCAGCTACCAATGGTGCAACAATCATCTTGATATCTTGTACAGTTAGTTTATAATCAACATTTATATTTTGTGTATTTCTCCATAGGAATGAATGGTGTTATGTTAAGCCTATGGCACGCTCTCGGTCACGTGACTCCCCGCTGTAGCAGGTCTCTATGTGCTTTTCCTCTTCCTCATTGCCGTTTTTGTGCTCCTATTATGCCATTCTTAAGCTTTATACACATATAATACATGAAACTCGTAGAGAACATTGTCATGAATCCAGCTGTGTAATTGTCATTGCGAAGGGGTGGACGGTATTTGCGTAAGTCGCACATTCCGGCGCGTACCGTCTCACTGCTCCTTAGGCTTGCAGTCAAACAAATACGCTGGAAGGAAAACGTCTGGGTAATTATAAATTGCCACGGTTCCTTCAATTTGTTTAATATCTTGACATAATACAACAGTGGAATAACACAACAGAGCGCTGTATATATTAAACTTAGCTGTCGTACCACGCTAGGCCAGAAACAAAAGTGTATATATTAAACTTAATGCAGATGTCACATTTGCTAATCGCCGCGCCTCTCGCTCCGTCTCTCCCTGCAGACGCTCCCAGCAGACGCTCACAGCTGATTCTCATCAGCTTTATATGTAGCGGCTCAGAGGCGCTGGCACTGCCAGTCCACCTCATCCTGCTAGCAGCTTGGCAGCAGAAAACGTTACGATCTACTGTTTATGTCTTCACTACAACGATCGCTACCAAAATGCAGTACAATTCTGTCTCACAGATGCAGTTGGTATCTGTTAACTGCTGTTAACTACTTAAATATATATCACACTAAATAGTTAGACATTATGATCTTATGAACCTTAGCTTCAAGAATTTTTTTCTAATTGAACCTTTTTAAATTTTAAAATGTGAAATTTGTACACAGTTTAAAAACAAATTTTATCAACAGAGTTATTACAGTTTTTATTATTTACAATATTGTTGAGTCATACCATTTTAAAGCTTTTCACATTGTAGTTACACCTGGGTTAATATCTCATTAGTTCACAGTTTCAGACAGACCATCAAGATCACCATGGGGAAATTTGTGTCTCAGTCAAATCATAGTGATGTTGATATTGTGAAGACTGCTCTGAAAATTCAGAGCATAGTTTTCACAATGTGAAATTTTGCTATTTCAGGTATTGTTACAATATATGGCTGCTGTGTAATCCAAAGGTTGACATTATCCCAAGGATAAAACACACAAATGTGAAAAGCCTTTTACATAACTACCAGCTGACACTCCACCCTGATGAAAACTATTTTAAAAACTGGTCATCTCCTCTGGGTTAATTACTTAATTTTCATGTTAGCTAGACTAACATTTTCTATGTCTATTTTCTTTACCTGTTAATTAAAAAAAGACAGGCAGAATGGATCAAATGAAAATAAAAGGAATGAACTGTTATAAAACTGTTTGGATAGAGATTAAAGTCAGGAGTGTTAGGGTAGCTCAAACACAGAGATGAGCGAGCGAAAAGAAGACGGACCCAGGTAGCTGGCTTCGGTGCAAGCAGTGACATACTTTCAATGTTTTCTGTCCCTCTGTTGTATGTTGAATCTATCCATCAGGACAAACCAACATTGTTATAAGAAAGCACAATATATGGTGGATGACAATGGACCGGGCTGCGAACGCTGGGATCACTCCTGGACTGGTCGAGGTAGAGGTGATGATGGCTGAGGAGACAGGAGCATAAATAGACAGTTAAAGGAGACTGTGCATGGACCTGTAAGGCGGAGGCTAGTAGGACTGCGAAGATCCAGGGTCCAGAGGAGAGATCTGTAGAGGAGGAGAAAAAGAACAGCGGGACAAAAAGGTAACACGAATGAACAAAGATAACTGGCGTACTTAGCACAAAGAAGACAACGAACATAGGGGCCTGAAGACAGAGACTGAACTAGCAAGGGAGTGAACAGTGAGCAGCGTATAAGTAGGGAGGAAACTAATGAGTCGATAATCAGGGGAGTGGGGCAGGTGTGTCGGATAGTGTAATCAGTCTAAGGAAGCAGACTAGAGTGAGGAAAGGAAGAGAGGCAGGTGCAGCCGGGCAAACCTGACAAAGAGTAAAGTGATTTAAAGTCAAACAAATTGTCTTTTTCTACTGGAAAGTATTAATTTTGTGCATGAGCTTGTAATGTTTTCTGTCCTTCTGTTGTATGTTGAATCTGTCCATCAGGACAAACCAACATTGTTATAAGAAAGCACAATATATGTATGAGGATGCAAAATGTTTACAGAGCACTTTGATGCTGCACAAAGCAGGCATTGACACTGTGAATGTGATAACTGGTCCACAGCTGTGTTCCCCTGTAGCACTGTAACTGATGATTTGCTTGAAGATCAACAGGGATTGGCTCTACTGAACTGAATGCTGTCGAGCAATGGATTTGCACATGGTGATGTGGAGATAGTATCTTCTTCTTCTTCTTTCGGCTGTTCCCGTTAGGGGTTGCCACAGTTAATCATCTGTTTCCACCTAACTCTATCCTCGGCATCCTCTACTCTTACCCTAATTAACTTCATGTCCTCTTTTAGCACATCCATATATCTCCTCTTTGGGCCTTCCTCTTGACTTCTTGCCTGGCAGCTCCATCTCAAACATCCTTCTACCAATATAACCACTATCCCTCCTCTGCACATGTCTAAACCATCTCAATCTGGCCTCTCTGACCTTGTCCCCAAAACAGCCGACCTGAGCTGTCCCTCTGATGTGCTCATTCCTAATCCTGTCCATCCTGGTCCCTCCTAAAGAGAACCTCAACATCCTCATCTCTGCTACCTCCATCTCTGCCTCTTGTCTTTTCCTCACTGCTACAGTCTCTAACCCATACAGCATAGCTGGTCTCACTACTGTCTTGTACACCTTTCCTTTGATTCTTGCTGACACTCTTCTGTCACACAACACTCCTGACACCTTTCTCCACCCACTCCAACCTGCCTGCACTCACCTCTTCACGTTGCACTTCCCTCCCTCTCGTTCATGCACATGTATTCTGTCTTACCACAACTGGCTTTCATTCCTCTTCTTTCCAGAGCAGACCTCCACCTTTCCAGGTGTTCCTCCACCTGCTCTCTGCTCTCACCACAGATCACAATGTCATCCGCAAACATCATTGTCCACGGAGATTCCTGTCTGACCTCACCTGTCAACCTGTCCATCACCATAGCAGATGTGGAGATAGTATAATGGAGGTAATTCTGACAAGAGAAAACAAAAAGAATATATAAACTGGACTCCATGAAACAAAATATGTTAGAACTTTGAACAGTAATTGTATACCTTGAGCACTGCTGGAAGGTAGGAAACCCTTTTGTAGTCCAATACCACTTCAAAAAGACACATTTTGGATAGCTCCACTATAAAGTGGAGGGGTCACATAGCACCTGAACAATAAAATTAATGTAAATATCACTATAGTTGTACTATAAAAGACAGAACAGATCAATAATAGTGTTGAATCTATTGAATGAATACAGTATGAATAGATAAATAAACACAATTAAAGCTAAAAACTGTTACGGTTCGGCATAGCTCGACTTCCCATATTTACGTTTCTGTTTACCTGTTCTCTCCCCACTCCTCTGTCACCGCTATTAGTCATTATTTTACTCACCTGTGCTCATTATCCCCCGGTCCTGTTCCCTGCTGTTCTGCCACGACAATCAGTCTCCATGCCATTCACCTGCTGTTCATTATCGCCCCATCCGGTCCTGTATTTATACACCTGTTTTCTGTTCACTCACTGCTGGTTCATACCCTTAGTATGTGTGCATGTCCTGCGATTACCTGGCTTCGACTACGTGTTCCGATCCTGCTCCATTCGTTTCTGTTTTGCTTCCGCAATTCATCAGCCCCATTTACTCTCCGCTCGGTCAGTCTGTATTCTTCGCCATTTATTGTTTTTCTGTCCTTTCGTACATAAGTCTTTAGCTCTGCGCTTTCTATTTCGTTTACCTGCTAGCGCTGCTCAATCCGTTAGCCCTGCTCTGACTACCAGCGCTGCTCCAACCGCTAGGGCTACCCTGACTACTAGCGCTTCAGATCCCAGCTTACCTGATATCCTGCTGTTGTCCTCCTGGTTCTCTGGTCTCCTGCTCGTCCCTCCTCCAGGTCCTCTGGTCTCCTGCTCGTCCCTCCTCCTGGTCCTCTCTGGTCTCCTGCTCGTCCCTCCTCCTGGTCCTCTCTGGTGTCCTGCTCGTGTCTCCTTGTGGTTCCTCCCTGGTGGTCTCCTCCTCGCCTCATCCTTGTGGTTCCTCCCTGGTCGTCTCCTCCCTGCCTGTCTTCCGGCCATCCAGCATTATTTGTGTTTTGTTTATTCCTGGTCCTCTCTGGTCTTCTGCTCGTCCCTCCTGCTGGTCCTCTGGTCTCCTGCTCGTGTCTCCTCGTGGTTCCTCCTCATCTCCTCCTCGTGGTTCCTCCCTGGTCATCTCCTCCCTGGGTGTCTCCTCCCTGGTCGTCTCCTCCTGGGTCTTGCCTGTCCTTGGTTGCTCCCTGCCTGTCTTCTGGTCATCCAGCATTATTTGTGTTTTGTTTAATAAACTGCTTTTTTCAGTTCCTCTCCTCTAGTCTGTATCTGCAACTGGGGTCTTCACCACGTTCACACGCAACAAAAACATTTTTACAATGAAAAAGTACTGATGAATGAAATTTGTAGCTAATACCATAAAAACAAAACTTTATAATAAGAATACCTTATTCTCTGTTCTGAAGAAACACGTGTCCCCAGTTGTGTCAGCATGAAGTCCCGGTTAGTGTGAGGATCTGCACCATTGCAGTGACAGAATGAAGGTCAGGTTAAACTTAACAATCGATCCAAGTGAGTAGGACCAGCAAGAAGTAGAACATTTCTCAAAATACTCCTTCCATCTTCTCTGCACACTCTCCTCACTTGTTAGCACCTTTCCATCTCTGTCTTTAATCGCCCTTATCTGTTGCACATCCTTCCCATCTTTATCTCTCTGTCTCGCTAATCTGTACAAGTCCTTCTCACCTTCCCTTGTGTCTAACCTGGCATACAGCTCATCATATGCTTTCTGTTTGGCCATTGCCACCTCCCTCTTCACTCTACGCTGCAATTTCTTGTAGTCCTGTCTACCGTCTTCAGTCCTTTCAACGTCCCACTTCTTTTTAGCTAGCCTCTTCGTCTGAATGCTGTCCTGTACTTCCTCGTTCCACCACCATGTTTCCTTATCTTCTTTCCTCCTTCCAGATGACACACCTAGCACCTTCCTACCTGTCTCCCTGATCACTTCTGATGTAGTTTCCCAGTCATCTGGAAGTTCTTCCTGACCACCCAAAGCCTGTCTCAACTTCTGTCTGAATTCCTCACAACATTCTTTCTTTTGCAACTTCCACCACTTGGT